AACATCTTTCAACTTTCGGAAACTTTGTTAATGGGGATATAAATCTTGAAGGTACCAGCGAAAGGATAGGAAAAATGCAGATGCGCATTGATTCATCAAATGCTGTCTCCGATTTGAAAGCGAGTCCTACATTACAGCAAGCTGTTAAAAGAAAGCAACACGTTGCTCCAAAGCTGCCACGAAAAGAGTCAAAAGCCGCTGAAATGGACTCAAAGAGTGCTTTAAATCCTAGCTTAATTCGCAAGGCCAGTGTTGACGTTGACTCGATGTTGAACATCAGTAAAAACGTAAAATCAGGAGAGAAAATCTTTCAGTGTAGTTTTTGCGGCTACTCTTCGGCTTTCAGACAATCGGCTAAAAGACACATTCAATTGAAGCATCTTCCGAAGAACGAGGTTTTCAAGTGTCAGTTATGCGAGCACTGCTGTAATTTGAAGTTTAATTTGAAACTGCATTATACCAGTAAGCACTCGTTGCCAGAAATAGCTGCCAAAGCGATGTTGGAAGGGGTATGAAGAACCGAGGGTCGGAGCTCAACGCCGACTTTAAAAAAAAATACGCATGTCATGTCAAATTTATTGATTAGAAGATGTACAGTTCAAGTTTTTGCAGTTAAAACTATGTAAAACTTTCATTAGGAAAGATATTTACTTTTATATTTACAAGCATAATGTGTTTTTCTTACGTGAAAAAAAATACATTATGATGATTTTATAAAGTCTTTATTTGATTCCAAAGATTCGATGAAGATCTATGCCCTGTTTCTAGGTTGCTTTGCTTCATAAACAATGTTTTCGATCAGCATTGGCCTTGCAAGTAATTGCATGGAGAACCTTCAGGACTTACTTAACAAATCGGTTCCAAGTGGTTTTTATGCTGACATAGTCATGTGTGAAGAAGCGAATACCTGCCTAGGAAGATTAGGCATCTTTTGTGATCCAAGTAGAATTCTTCCTGAAGTTAGTTTCATGAGCAATAACTCAACACTCATTCCTTGGGTACAATCGAAACCGCCTGCGAAGCGCAGGTTACCAATCGCTTCAAATTCTAAATCTAAAACTGTCAAAGCTCCCGTGAACTCGCAGCAAATTCCTGTTGAATCTCTTATAATGAGCAAGGCTAACCCCGAATCATTGCTGAACATCAGTCAAGATTTAGCGACTGGTGAGAAAACCTATCGATGTAGCTTCTGTGATTACTTCTCTAATCGGAAAGATTCGGCTCGAAGGCACATTGAGCTAAAACACTTGCCTTCAAAAAGCGTGTTCAAATGTCAGTTGTGCGTTTACACTGCTAACTTGAAGCACAATTTGAAAACTCGCGTAAAGGCTCATTCCCTACCTGAACAAGCAGCAAAAGCCATGCTCGATTGTTTTTCATTTCATTTTGACTTTTAGTGCTTTTTAAATTATCACTGTATTTTGATGTTATGATTGTTCAATTATAGATCGTGTGTAGTTTTAGAAGACTAATGAATATGAGAGAAGTGAAAATAAAATGCTTTAAGTAAAATTTTATTGGCCAAAATTAATGATGTGCGGCACGCACGAACTCATAATTTCATCTTTGATTTTATAAGTGCTTATATAGTAAGAATATGACTCAATGGTGTCAGGGACGGATCTATGATTTTCTCGAGGAGTGGGGGTGGGGGGGGCGGAGTTTCAAAAATTTTGGAGAATTTGCTCGACTTTTTTTGAGAGGTTGACCAAATTGATTTTTCGAGCTCTCTCAAAGCACTAGAAAGACCCTGTTTTAGCCCAGTTTTTGCGCCGCAGGCAAACTTTGAAAAAAACAGGCCAAAAAGCCGTTTTAGGCAATTTTAGGATAAATTTTTCTAAAGGAGTTTTAGGTACTTTTTGGATAAATTTTTCTAAATGAGCGAAGGCGTCTTCAAAATAATTTTAGGGTCTGTCAGTCAAAAATGAGTATCTCAAAAATATTCCTGGGAGAGGGGGGGGGCGTCCGCCCCCTGTCCAAAATCCACCTCTGAATGGTGTTATCTGTTGTTATTGTCATTTTTATTAAACTGTGAAATTTTTTGCTTACTTCGCTTTTGAGCATCAGTAAAAACTAAATATTTTTGTCGGGGAAATTTTTCCAGGTAAATTTTCAAGTGACCACGGACATAGTGAATATGTTTTGTGATTTTGAAGTTTTTTCAGGTAAGTCTTTAAATTTGATCACGCGAAATTTGATCTTTTGTGGTTTGACTTTTGATATGTCCTAAGGTTAATTCAAATTCATGGCTAAAAGGAAGGCAAATAATGTTCTCCAGTTAAGAAGCGGTAATGGTGCGAAAACACATGAATGACGTTCATGTTCGAAAGTGGATTTTAGGTTTAAGATTTCACAACTGAATTTTTTAAAATGACCTTTAGATTCAGTTTTATTTAATTCGGCGCTAGTTTTAGGAAAAAAGTGGTGATCATAACATATTTCTGAAATTTAAAGAGCTTCAACGTGATAAATTTTTTCTGTGAAATTCGAAAATTTTCCAAAAAAGTCAAATTGTCAGTTTCTGTTTTACTTAAGTTTCTTGATACTTTTCAAACTGTTCGTTGGCTGTTCTTTCACTAGCAGATTAATACGAAGATTTTGTTTTTTTTTTCTAAAGAAAATGTTCAAAATAAATCTGAAGATGTCAGAATCTTGCTGGGAAAGTATTGAGCAGTTTCACACAACTAAGCTTGACACCTTACTTGCTGAAATTTGGTCTTCAAAACGGGGCGAAAAAATTGGAGTTATGGAAGCATTTTATGATTCTAGTTCAGAAAATTCTCCTGGTTTTTCTCCAACACAGCTTAACAGCCTAAGCGTCAATCAATCCCCTAAGAGAAAGAAAACATTTGCGGGACCAGTTATTCAGAAGAAGCCGAAAAGCAAGCCTGCATGTTTGCAATTGCCAGTAGATAACAGTAAATCAAATGGTAATTTTACAACAATAAAACCCAGTGCAGAAGCATTAATTAGCATAACTCAGAATCTGACAACAGGTGAAAAAAGTTACCAATGCACTATATGTGGTCAAACATCTAGCGCGAAAGGAAACGTGAAAAGGCATATTGAGCTGAAACATTTACCGAAGACAACAGTTTTGAAATGTCAGTTGTGTGAATATACAGCAAATTTGAAATTCAGCTTGAAGAGTCATTATACTGGCAAACATTCACTTCCAGAGCAAGCGGCCAAAGCAATGATAGACTAGCATGCAGAAAATTCAAATCTTCCAGTATGAAGATGTATGAAGTTTGTATTCCAGTATGAAGATGTATTTTAGTGTTTCTGTTTTTTAGTGTTTCTTGGCCACCCCAATAGTTGTCAATAGTTGTTGTTGGAGATGATTTTTCTATAAATTTCTAGTTTGAAAAAATTCGAATTTATCATCTAGATGTTGGTTTGGCTGTCCTTAAACCGATTTTTGTTACGCTGTTGTGAGCTCTGAAACGTATTTTTTGTTTTACAGTTGAGTATGCTTCCCTATATGTTCTATTGTTATACTGTTTGAGTCTGAGTTTCTAGTTATTTAAGCTGATATTTTTCCGGAGAAATACGCTACACTTCATAAATTTTAGAATAGGTGGTACATTTTACAATGCTTTTTTTTGCATGGACAAAATTTATCCGTAGTGTTTATCTTATCCTGGTAGTGTTATTAGATTCAAATTTTGAACAGAATCGAATATAAACGTAATTTTATTTTGAATTATCCTTTTCGTATTAGAAAGTGAAAATTTTTTTGAAAATTTTCTTAACCTTTTTTTGTCATTTTTATCTTATTGCAATAACATTTAGATATAATAATTTAAAAGTAACAATGATCATTTTTTTTTATATTTTAATAAAGTTGTACTATCTACGCTAAGATATCACCGAAAATAGATTGGAGACAAACGAGTCCTTTTTCCTTGATCGAAAATCATTCATTGTACTATGTAGTTTTTATAGGAAAAATGTTCACATTCAGATTGAACATCGCTGAATCTTGTTGTGAAAGCATTGAGAAACTTTTTCCGAACAATTTTGAGACCCTATGCGCTGACATCTGGTTGCCACAAATTGACGAGAAAATTGGAACTCTTGAAACCTTCTTCAATTCATCCCCAGTCATTAAGTCAAACCATGATTTTTCTCAGTTTCTAATGGGTAAAACTGTCAATAAGCAGCTTAGTAAACGAAAACAACCCCCCAATTTATCAATCGTACCCAAGAAATTCAGAAACATTGCTAAGGTGACTCCGTCTCCTGTAGTTGCTAGTGCTGTTGACGGGAGTCTGTTGGCGACGACTGCGCCCAGTGTAGAAGCCTTCATCAGTATATCCCAGAATCTCACAACAGGTGAAAAAAGTTTCCAGTGTAGTATGTGTGGCCATAATTCAGGACAAAAAGGAACTGTAAAAAGACACATTGAGCTGAAACATTTGCCCAAAACCACGGTTTTGAAATGCCAATTGTGCGACTACAGTGCTAGCTTAAGGTTCCAGTTGAAAAGTCACTATACTGGCAGGCACTCGCTTCCAGAGCAAGCGGCCAAAGCAATGCTAGATTGAGCTAAGGAGGTAGATATGTGAAGAACTAACTGAGTTAGATAAGAAATTTGTGAACGTATATTTTTATTGGAAGTTTTTTTCTAGAAAAAGCTAACAGCAATGGACGTGTCCCAACTAGTTAGTTTTTTTAATTTTTGTTTTAATTTTCTTGCTTTCCGGTTTATTGTAGTGGCTAGTCATCTAGTAATAGAGTGGCAGAATCAAAGTGACTGTACACTAGTTAATGAAGTTCGTAGCAAAACGTTTTCAGGCCACAATGATCTCTTTCAAATTTCACCTGACCGAAGAGTGCGTTGATAGCATTGAGAGTTTTAAAATTTCAAAAGGAGGATCTTTTTTGGCCAATATTGGACAGCTGGTAACTGGAGAAAAATTAGGAACTCTGGAGGCTTATGACAAAAAAAACTCAGTTAGATTTATTTTGCAGTCAAGCTAGTAGGACAGGTTCGATTACGCAACCGATAGTTTCAACCATAGAGTCACAAACAAGTTTTAAAAAGAAATCGATTAAATTTAATCCAGCTCCTGAACCAGCGAAAAAACCGAAGACAGTTCCAAAAAATAGTGCGACCCCAAATGTCTTGACCACCGGACCTAGTGCAGACGCGTTACTCACTTCCAACCAGAACTTAGACACCGGTTTGAAAAGTTTCCAGTGCAGCATGTGCGGCTATACCACAGGACACAAAGGAACAGTTAAGAGGCACATCGAATTGAAACATCTCCCCAAAACAGCAAATGCTTTGAAATGTCAAATGTGTGAGTATGCGACGAATCTGAGATTCAATATGAAAAGTCACTACATAAAAAAGCATTCGGTGCCTGAACAAGCTGCAGCAACGATGGTAAGCTAGGCAAGCATTACGAATTACTTTAACTTCTTCGTGTCAAAATGCAAGGTGATATAGAGGAAGTCTAGAGTCTGTAATTTTGATAGAACCGCTGATAGATAGTCTCAATTGATAGTCGCATTAAATTAATTACCTGATTAATTAAAAACTTATGGCCTGGTTTTTATTGTCATCAAGTTATCAGAGAAAAATACTTCATTCAATTTTTAAATTGCCCACTTTTATTCGGAGAAATAGTTCTAACTTGCCTTGCCCTAATGTTCATTCTCTGATTCAAAAGTTGGTTTCTAGATATTTGTTATTATGTTTTCCTTCAAGCTTCATCTATTTGAAAGTTGTGTTGCCACAATCCAGGATTGTGTGATCGCGAATTCCGTGCCATTTTTAGTTGATCTTATTTTACCTGCGAGTCATGAAAAGACTGGAAACCTTGAAATGATTTTCGTTGATTCTGCCGACCAAAGCAACAATAGTCCGAATTTCCTTGCTAAGAAAAGTGTTTCACTACCTAAACGTAAAATGCAATCAAACTACCACGTGACCCCAAGTAAACCAAAAATGATGACTACAAATGCCTCATCTGAAAATATGCAGTCTTCGGATGATTTGCTCACAACAAAAGCTAATCCAGAAGCACTTATTAACATCACCCAGAACTTGACTACAGGGGATAAAAGTTTTCAATGTAGCATGTGTGGCTATGTTTCTAATCAAAAAGGAACTGTCAAGCGCCATATAGATCTGAAACATCTTCCCAAAACGGTAGTTTTCAAATGTCAGTTATGCGAGTATACTGCGAGTCTGAGGTTTTATTTGAAAAATCACTACACTGGAAAGCATGCTTTACCTGAACAGGCTGCAAAGGCCATGCTAGACTAGCTAATCGTAACCTTATAAAAATAACAATGTCTTAGAACTCATTTAGCAGTTGTTAGTATCTTAATACTTTCGTTTGCATGAGAGTGAGCTTGTCCATTAAAATTTTCAGTGTAGTTCTTAGTTTTCATGGTGACCAAGAATACATCTTAATCTTTACTTGATTGACGTTTGTACAACCTAAGGAAGTTCAAAAGATGCTTTGAGGGATATGCTTTAGCTTTTGCTATATTTTCATCGGTGTTTTCCATATTTCATATCTATTACAAGATGTAATTTTTAGATCTTTGTTATTATGTTTTCCTTTAAAATCCACCTGTTAGAGTCTTGCATTGCAACGATCCAGGACGCCTTCGCGGCAAAGCAATTTCCAAGATTTGCTGATATTATGCTATCTGCTAGTCTGGAAAAAATTGGAAACCTTGAAATGATTTTTGACGATTCTGCAGACCCAGGCAACGGTGGTCTTCAAAAATTCTTTGCAAAGAAATAATCTGCACCTAAGCGTCAAATGCAATCAAACTCGCTCGTGCCTCCAAGGAAATCTAAAATGGTAGAACCAATTCAAGCGTGTGGTAATGTAATCTCAACAAAAGTTAGTCCAGAAGCTCTTGTCAACGTCACCCAGAACTTGACAACTGGAGAGAAAAATTTTCAGTGTAGCTTGTGTGGTTATGTATCGAATCAGAAAAGTGCCGTGAAGAGACACATTGAACTAAAACATCTTCCCAAAACTGTTGTTTTCAATTGTCAATTATGTGAGTATACTGCCAGTTTGAGGTTTCATTTGAAATCTCACTACACTGGCAAGCATAATTTACCTGCACAAGCTGCAAAGGCAATGCTTGCCACTGACTAAATCATCTCAGTCGTGATTTCAAACAGAGTAGATTTCTTTACCTATACAGTGGTTTTGTGTTCGTTTATAGTTGAGATTAGATTTGAAATTTGTTGTCAACTTAATTGTTTTGTCAATTTTATGCTCACTTGCATAGAAAGTTTTTAAAGTCTTAAAGATGTTTTTTCAGATCTTACCCTAAAAAATAATTTAAAATAATTTAATACCGTATTTGTAATTTTTTAAGAGATATGTTTTCTTTCAAACTTCATTTAATCGATTATTTTCTGGAAGCAAACCAGGGTGCTGTGATTTTAAAACCCTTGTCACGCGTTGCGGATATCATTCTATGTGACGAACATAAAAAAGTGGGAACTATCGAAATACTTTTTGATCCATCTTTGGACAACTCTGTATTCAATCCAGAGACCCCACCTATCAAAACTGCGCCAAAGCGAAAGAGTCAGTCATGTAATTTCGTTCTTCCTATGAAGCAGCCAAAGATTTTTGCTCCAAATATTATTAATTCACCTACAGCCGATACTGTTTTGAGTTCCAAAGCAAATCCTGAAGCTCTTGTTAACATCACTCAAAATCTAACTACAGGAGAAAAAAGTTTCCAGTGTAGCATGTGTGGTTTTTCCTCAAGTCGCAAAGATACAACTAAAAGGCATATAGAACTGAAGCATCTCCCTAAGACAACAGTTTTGAAATGTCAGCTGTGTGATTATACTGCGAGTTTGAAGTTTCAAATGAAAAGGCACTATACGGGCAAACATTCTTTGCCCGAACAAGCAGCCAATGGCATGTTAATGTAGATAGTCATAAAATCAGCTAGTGTCGGAGTAATTTTCTGTTCCTGGTGAAGTTCTTTCAATGACTGTTTATTTGAAAAAGTAGTAGCTTACTGTTATGCTGCATTTTGTCATTTTAATAGCGAGTCACAGCAATCATTGTGAAATCCTAATGGTTTATTTACTTTATGATCCATTTGGAATAGTTTATAGTTTATTTCAAATTATCGAATGGCGAAGATTTCGAACAGAGGATACAGTTACCTCGATTCCGTTTTGGCCTATGTCGAAACCAAATACCTCTTTTCAGATCCGATTATGGAAACGTTTGAGTCTCTCAATTTTTCCATCACTTTTAACCTGATACTGTTCGATCAAATTCTTGATTTTGAACAGCTGAATGTATTTGACATATTAGGTGGCCCTGATCAGGTCAAAGTTGGAAACCTAGAAGTTGAAAGGTGTTCCGATATGGTAGACCCTTCTAAGCATTTGAAACATCTATCACAAACAATTCCAAGCTCTGGAAAACGCCAGAATGTAAATCCAGTAATTGCTCAAAGGAATTCAAAAGCAGTCAAAAGTGACCCTCGAAGTGTGCATGCACTGGTTCAAAAAGACGTCGGCAAGATATTCAAAGATCTAAATCTAGTTCCTAGCGTCGCATCGCCTGCAGATGATTTGCAATGTGCGTTATGCACTCATCGGGCCTCTCATAAAAATAATTTAAAGACTCATTATAAGCTGAAGCATTTAGGAGGAGCTGATCTAGCTATGAGTTGTAGCATTTGTCAGAAGAAATGTACCACTAAAAGCAATCTTAAGAAACACATGATAGTTGTGCATAAGTTGTCTAGAGAAGATGCGATTAGGTTGACTGTATAGCAAGATGTTTTTTTTTCGTAAAAATGCTATGTTTTAAACATCACTTGCGTTGCCTTATGCAATTGACTGCCAAAATTTGAAAATGGAATAGTTTTTTTTGGACTTAGTGTGATTTATTGTTTTAAACTTAGCTCATTTTCGAATTAAAGTTTGTATGATGAATTCCTATTTACAAACCTTGGACTCTGTTGCAATTTATGTTAAGAGAAATCTGCAGTTTTTAGCAACGTTGTTTTTTTAAGAGTCGGTTAACATAGCTACCTATATAGGTAGCGGTGATTTGTTTTCAGAAAAAATTTTAAAAAATTGTTTACGCTCAAATTTGATTTTTTCGCGATTTGAAGTAAGTTATCTGTTCGAGTTCAGTTCATTTAATTTATTAAGAGGAAGGCAAGCTACATTATTGATCAGCGAAAAAGTAAACGTCACAAAAAACGTGATCGTTTTCCAATTTCTATTGTGGATTTTAGTTTTCAGATTTCGCTGCACAACAAAAACTTTACCTATTGATCCAGTTTTCTCAAATTGAGTGGTAATTATAAATTTTTCTTGAAATTCGAGGAGCTCTTTAAGGTCAGATATTTTTTATGTTGAAACTCGAAAATTGAAGGTTTTTCAAAAAACAGGTCAGCAACGTTTCTTTGAGTGCATTGACTCTTTTTCAACTCTCTGTTGGCTAGGTTTATATTTTTAACCTTTTTTTCAGAATCTGAAATTACCTAATTTTGTGTCAATCGAGAGTTTTATCAAGACGTTTGTTTTAGTTGAGGTTTTGGGTCAATAACGAACAGTGCTATATTGATTAAATATGGAAAAGAGTGAAGCCCTCAATTTTTGTTTGAACTTAAACCTCTTGCAGCACAACCGAGTTTTTGATTTCTCAAAGTTGAGCATAAGGGGTTGGAGGTCGCGAGAAGGTTAGAATAGGAAACATTGTAGTTGGAAGCTTATCGGCAAATTTTGCATCAAAGACTGTTGAATCAAAGACTCAAAAAGTTAGAGATAGCAAAACGTTAATTTGAGTTCAATGGTCCATAAAGATGGCGGCGAAATCTTAAAAGATCTCAATCTAGTTCCTAGCGTCACATCATCTGCAGATGAGATACAATGCGCCTTGTATAGTTATAGAGCAACGCGGAAAACTCACGTAAAGACTCATTATAAGTTGAAACATTTGGGAGGTGCTGATCTATGTAAGAATTGTAGCATTTGTTGGAAAAAATGCACCACAAAGAGCAATTTAAAAGCACACTTAGTTGGAGCTCATAAATTGACAAGGATGGATGACGGCATAACCTAGCTTAGAATGATTGATCCTATTTCTTGCTTAAATTAATGTTGATTGGCTTATTGAAGATGACTCTCATTTCTTAGGTTATGTTTAGTGTTTCCTTCAATTCAAGATAATGTATAATTTAGATGAGTGGCTAATGGACTATGATTGGTTATTTTTTTAAAATGATCATTTTTTAGCCCATAGTTTTACTGTGATATTCTTTCAATTTGGTCTAGCGTGGTCTGTTTTAGTAGACTGTTTTCATTTTTAATTGTTCTGTCATTTTTCTAGCGAATTTAAGTTGTGTTTACATATTGAACATGTCACGTTGCTTGTTTTTCAATTCTTATGCTAATTTCGCAATCTGAAGGCTTAGCTTGGTTTTAGTTTACAATTTTAATACAGTTTTCATTGAAACTTTTTAAACGTGATTTTAACTTGCCTCGATTTCAGTTGATAATTTGAGTCAAAATCACGGTGTCTAGTTTTGATCTAGTCATGGAAGGTTTTGAAATACTCGAATTTTCTATCAATTTGGATCTCTTGCAGTTCAACCGTGTTTTTGAGTTTGCAAAACTGAACCTATTCGATGTCGTTGGTGGTCCGTACCAATCAATAGTAGGAAACATTACAGTTGCAAGTTGTTTTGAGGAAACCGGTTGTTCTAGGAGTCTAGCTAGTTTGTCTCAAACTATCCAGATCTCGCGAAAACGTTCGAATAATTTTCCTGATGTTGCTTCCAAGAATCCGAAAGTATTTGCAAGCGTAAAAGCAAACTCAATGGTCCAAAAAGACGTCAGCAAGATTTTTAAAGATCTCAATCTAGTTCCGAAGATGACTTCGCCTTCAGATGATTTGCAATGTGCACTGTGTAGCTATAGGGCCACTCAGAAGTCTCATTTGAAAACCCATTACAAGTTGAAGCATTTGGGAGGGGCTGATCTAGCTATGAATTGTAACATTTGTGAGAAAAAGTGCAGTACTAAAAGCAACTTAAAAACACACTTGATAAGAGTTCATAAGTTGTCGAGGGAAGATGCGAGTAAACTGACGGTGTAGAACTCTAGATCAGACGGACTAATTGGATAAGGATTATGATTTTATCAGTATCAGTTTTTAGGGTATTTAGAGATCATTTATATTTAGAATGATTCTGATTCATAACCATTATATGCCGATGGTCGTATATTCATCAATATAGTTTTATCATTAAAACAAACTCTTAGTTTCGATTCGGTTTTCTGTAGCGTTTTTGTAATAAATCTATACTCGTAAATGCACTAGGATTTTGTGCTCGCCTGATTTTAATTGCTTTTCAGCTGTTTTGTTTGCGTCTTTTCCAACTTGCCACTAACAAATCGGTAACGTTTTAACTTTGAACATGCTTAACGACATGAGAAATATGCTTTTAAGCCGATCCCTGTTCGATACTCAAATTTTCATTTAGGATGAGTAGTTTTTTTATAAGTAGCAAATGATTTTTACTTTTCGCTGATTAGTTTTTCTAATTAGTTCCTGTTCATAATAATGGTGACTCACCCTGGTGTTGTTCTGCCTCCCTCCTGGCTTGTTTGAGTTTGTCGCCCATTAGCCCTACTTCCTCCTCAAATCTAACCCTCCTACTCTCACTCTCTCCCAGCCTCTCCTTCAACTCCTGCACTTCTCCCTTCAGTTTGTCCACCTCCCAAGTGGAGGTAGCCGCATCGCCCGCTGCCGCCTGGAAGGAACATTTTAGAATGATTCATCTACGAGGCAAATTTCGACAAATGATTTGCAGAGTGAGAGAGAGAGAGAGAGAGGCTTCAAGCTTTGAAACTGGCTAGTGTTGGGTGATATAGATAATCAATTATTCTAAATAGATTCAACATACTGAAAAGAGCATATACGAGCTTACTGGTTAAGAGTGGTCTTAAACCCGACTCTTGGAAAGTTTCGACGAAAATCTTTGCGAAACAGAACATTAAGTTTCTAAATGGAATCACGGTATTTTTATGGATAGTTGCAAACGTTATGAGTCGCTGCGGAATCATTTGATCGAAGAATTTCTGTATTTTTGTTACAAAAAAGATATTGTTTCACTTAAATAGTTCGACTACACACTGCCATGAAAAACATCCCCCCACTGCCAAAAAAACCGGAACCGACTGCACGCTTCGTTGGTACCTGAGATTGATCCAGTAGTGTCTCCAACTTCTTGTTCCTATCTCGCATATCCTCCAGCTGACTCCTCGCTCCATTCAGCGCCGCCTCACTCGCCCTCTCCTTACTTTCCATCTCCTCCCTACTCTTCTCTTTGTACAGTCCCATCTCCTCTATCAACCCCGTCTTCTCCATCTCTAACTCTTCGATTAAGTTGTCACAGATCACTCGTTGCTCCTCGAGTTCACTGAAAATGTTATGTAATGCTTGTTCAGGAATTATATGTTGACAAAATAAGTGGAGTAAGGCTCAAACCACCACGGAGGATGTTTAAACCAAAGACAGAGTTGCATGAGTGTTTCCAACTTGAACTTGAGTGTGTACTGCTTTCTAATTTTTGTTGTCTCGTATTATAGTTCTGTTTTTCAACTTACAAGTCCGACTCAGTGATTTGCTTCAGAATTTGTGATATAGGTTAAAGATTTTTGAGCGTCTGTTATTGGAGCATTGTATATTTCTATTACACTCTAACCTAATATGTTCTTGAGCCTTGTCGAGGTCGTCCAAGATGAGATTTCTCTCCTTGAGCAGAAACAGAATCTGTTCTCCAGGGCTCACTTCCAACAGCTCAGATAGACCCTCCTGAAATAGTTGGACACAGTTACCAAGAGCAAGTGGAATTCGTAAAGTGCTGCCCCTTAGCGAATTAAAGCTTGTCTATAGTTTGTGTGAAATATCATTCTGAACCTTCCTAGAACTTCAAAGGGAAAACAAATTTTGCAACTTTTAGCAGTATTATTCCGATTCCGTCGAATAAGCTCTACAAGAATCGAAATAAACCTAAAAATTGTTTCGCTCATTTGCTTTTGTTTTTAGCTGAAAATTGAAGTTTTATTTTAAAAAAATGGTGATTCTATGAAATCTAACAATCGCAACTTACACTCTGTAGTTCCTCGTCAATCTTTGCTCCGATGTCCTCATACTGGCTAATCTGCTGCTGCAGAACTGAAATCTGTTCATGCAGCCTCTCTAAAGTCGCCTCCTTTTCTTCTAGAATGTTCTGGTGGGATGCCATGACAGAATTGAGTTTTTCTTTTGCTAATCTATCTTCATCTTTGTTCTGATTTAAAATGCTACATTGTATTGAGAACTGAAACAAAGGGTATGAACATATGGTGACACGATATCAATAGAACTACCAAAACTTTTAACCAAAAGGTTTTTAAAATAGCAGGCAGAATTCACTGTCATACATGGAAACTACCAAAGAGTTTAAGTCATATAATTAAGTTTTTTCTTCGCTTTTCTGACTTTTTGTAACTCATCGGTAAAAATTTATTCAGCGTTTACTATTTTTTTTTGGTGTATTTCAGGTTTTCATTGAAAATTTCCAATGAACTGTATGTTTTGCTTGAGGTCATCGCGTTTCTTGTTAAGAGGTGCTCTGAAGCCTCCAAAAAATCGGACGTCATTAATTATTCAGTCGACATTGAAAACGCAAGTTGCAAACCCTGTCAAAAATGAATCAGGATACGGGCAATTCAGATACTTGATTGCAGCACCTCTTATTTGCGTAGGCCTCGGAACATGGCAGATCTTCAGACTTCAGGGAAAGTTAGAACTCATAGAGACAATAAACAGCAGATTTTTTGCTACGCCGATTCACTTAAGGGAAATTGATTTCACGAATAATGACATCAAAAATATCGAGTATACGCATGTTTATGTATCCGGTGAATTTGATCATGAAAACGAAATGTACATTGATTTCAAACAACCTCAGATGCCGGCGTCTCAAACCCAGTGGACTCTAGCTACGGGTTCTATATCAACACGAGGAAACTATGGAAGCCATATAGTTACACCTTTTATTGTAGACTCCGAAGATGCCAAAAAACTGAATTTACGAAAGGTCAAGAATGATGAACCGGTGAGAATATTGGTCAACCGAGGATGGGTTTCGAAACACGATGTTAGCCCTTCGAAGCGTCCTGAAGGTCAAGTAAAGGGTAAAGTTCAAATATCGGGTTATATCCGAGGCGAGGAAAAGAAGTTTATGAATTTCTTGATTCAAGATAACCAGAAGCCTGGGACTTATTTGTTCAGAGAGGTCAATAACATGTCCAAATATGGCAATACAGAACCGATAATGATTGAGCTTGACGAAGAAAGTTCTGTGCCTGGAGGACCAAATGGAGGCCAAACGATGGTTAAGATTTACAATAAACACGCTGAGTATATAGCCACATGGTATGGTCTGGCCATAGGCACTGGATATCTATGGTACAAACATGTGTACCAGGCGAAACCATTTGCAAGAAAGATGTTCTTCAGGAAATGAAACTGATTTGTCTAAATCAGTGAATTCATGTACAAAGTGCCGACTGTAAATATCTTTGAAGAGTAATTTAATAATCGTGAGGCGACAATTCGTAACAGGCGACAATTGGAGCGAGAACACTGATTCACGCGCAGTATTCCTTTCGTGCCGTGTGTAAGCGCAGCGGAGCGAGCGTATGATACTTTCCAATGGCTTGTTACGAATTGTCGCTAGTTCCGAATTGTCGCCTGTTAAGAATTGTCGCCCTGCCTTAATAATACAGCAGTTGAAATATAATTTTTTCATTGCAATTTTTTTTCTAGATAAAATGCCACGATGGTCTTAAATTTAAGGAACGAGCAGGCTTAAATCCTTTTAATGAGCTGATAACTTACCGGTAAATTACTATCTTCGGCATCTAAAATTGTATCGGACACTGTTATTTCGATAAAAGAATGCTTATCGTCAGTATTCTCTTCGGTCATTTTTAGTCGTTTCCAGAATTTATCCAGGTTAAATCAAAATTCAAATTCAGTTTTTCCTTTAAGCTGATGTGTTGTGGTATGAATATGAATTGTATAACGATCATGTGTTAAATATATTAACCTACGTGAGTGCAATGGCATAGTAGGAGCCAGGAATTGTCCCCAATTCTTTAAAAAATATTTGATCTGAAACGCGCCTTTGTTCCTAATTTTTTCATTCATTCCCTGCTCATTCAAACTAATATTGTAAACGTGCACTTATTATTTTTTATCATTTTGCAAAACGTTGACTAATATTTATTTACCGTCAAGTTTTTTTTGATCAATCACAAAACAAGGACAAAACGGGCTTAATTTACCAATGCTCATAATACGAGGTTGCCATTTTTTAGCAAACCAACTTTGATACCTGAAGTTTGAATAATTTCACGAGATTAAACTCATGAAGAATTGAATCAAACTGAAAAAACTCAGGAAGATTGAGGATAAAATTTTTGGACAAAGTGTTCTTGCGTTGAAACAGAAACGAAATACTAACCAATAGATGACCAATTTGTAAGCTCGTTTTCAATAGTTTGTGAATAAATTAATTGATACTAAAAATCAATTTAATCGAATAAAGATTACTAAAAACGTTATAGGATGGTGATAACTTATATAGAACAATCTTGGTAATTTACGAGGTGTATAGAGAGGTCAGGCAAGTTTGAGCGTGTGTGTAAATAATATGCGTAACACTGATTACAGCGGTTGAAAAACTAATGAATTGCATTCATTTTCGTTTGGTTGAGGTCTGCGTGAACACTTTTTTCATGTTTGGACTTTTACTACGTTTTACGATTTAGATTCTGCAACCAATATAAATATATATAAAATACGAAAGGATCAGTGGCTACTGGCTTTTTCTAACCACTGAAGTAATTCGGCCGAATTAGAGTCCATTTTTATGTTGAACTGTCCCATAAAAAGGGACTGCAGAAGTACTTTAACCAGTTAATACCGATAATAACAATGGGTTATTATTATACAGGGTCATTATTTGATCCCTAATATCGACATAGTGGCGAAGTGGAGCCACGAATTACTTGCAATACAACGGAAGTGCAGAATTGAAAACTAGGGAGGAGAAAATGAAACGGAAGTAACTAAATCGAACAAAATCACTGAGCCGACAATAAGCGGGCAGACGCCCAAGGCCGAAACCCAAAAAAGCCATAAGAAATAGTGTCAACGAAAAAAAAGTGCAATTAAGAAAAAGTTTTTTGGAACAACCATCGAATTTTGCCCTTCAAGCGACACAAAATGAGTTATTCAAGCTGATAAAACATAATCTGAAACTATTAAGGCCGAACAAAGCTTCCAAGGAATGTGCGTTCGACTCTCACTAAATCGAAAAATCGGTTTTGATGACGTCATAATAGTTACTTTCCATTCGTAGAGATTCGTCGAAACAAAAGGAAACATTGCTAAGGTGGCATCAAAATGGATAATTTAACATTAAGAACCTAGAAAATTTTCATATTCAGTTTCTTATTTAATAATCACATGGAATCACTTAATAATCACATAATCACTTGTAGCATATAAGATTGAATTGATAATTAAGAACCCTACTTTACTTTTCTCTAGGCTTGGCTTTTGTTCTATCATGTTAAATTTCAAGTTCCAAAGAGAGCTTCTTTACGCTTGCGATTAGCAAGCATTATCAAATCGGAATGTATACTTTTTTCGTGTTAACAACTTATTTAACAGAATCACTTGTATGTTAGTTCATAACAAAATCAAACTTCTGTGCGTCTTTGGGACGTTTGGTCTGAAGGTAACGAATACTCCTGTGACGACAAAGGCCATGGGCTCGACGACTCTGACAGGACCTGTTTTTTTCAAACGTTTTAAAAATTTATTGCTTTTGTTTCGTCGGCTTAGTTGCAACATTATAGAAATTTTTTGTTGTACGCATGTTACATTGTAAATGCTTTAGGTGCTTCGATACTTTTCTGTTTTATTCTGCCCAAATGTTTTCGGATTGTATTTTATCGGCTTAGTATCCTAGTTTTGAGATAGTTTCTATACGCCCCTCTAGATTGCACAAAACGCTAAAAATCTTGATGGAAATTATAAATTTTCATTACATTTTTTTCGTTTTTCTTTTCCTTTCTTCGCTATTTTTTTATTAATCACATTGCGTCTTTCGAAGAGCAAAAAAAATTTCTTGTTGGTGTGTGCTTGTATGTGCGTGTGGGGTTGTGTTTAAGGGCGAGAGAGGCCTAATAACTTTTAATTAGTCTTAAGTTTTTCGATTTTTTTTCGTTTTACTGTTTCGGTCTAATAGGTTTCGACTTATTTCATGATCGGCTTAGTGGCCTCATATTAGTTCATTAGATGAGCAAATCAAGTTTTATGTGTGTGTGTGTGTGTGTTTTGAGGGCGAGGGGATTGTTATAAGTCTTAGGTCTTGTGGATTTTTTGTCTTCAAAAAGGGTTTCTGCTAATATGTTTTTGGCTTCTTACCGGTTGGTAAATTTTTTCTGATGCGAATTTCACATTCTTTTGTCTGAGAAATTTTTTTACAACTAGCTTTTTTCATGTTGATAGATCTAGTGTTTTTCGACATTATCATTTTTTCCGAATTAGCGTCTTTCTTATTTTGTATCGCAAGTGGTGCGAAGCTTAGCTTCGTCTCTGTGTTGAAAGTTTTGAATCTGATAGTTTAAGAAATGCTGTTCTGGTGAACAATCTATATCGCTGTACTTGAAACTTTATTGAGAATGCAACAGTTCCTTAGCAAAACGTAGACAGGCCTTAAATTACACACAAGATAAAGTAGATAAATACTATATTAACAAATCAGAATTGAGACATGAAAACAAACGTACAAAATAATTAATCTTTTGTTATTCTTGCGTTAGTTTGTAGTTATTTTTTGACCTCTGATTGGTTAATATTTGTGTTTGTATACTTTCTGATGAGTATAAAATTCTGATTGTCTACTTATTGATCGCACTCCAAATGCAATAAACGTTATTATGTGGTAGAAAAGCAACGGCGTCATTTTATCGGTAATTTTTGCCCACAAATCAAAACCTATGTAGTATTAAACAATTGAAAAGCTGTTTTTTAGCTGTTTTTTTTTAATTTTGTAATTCATTTCTGATTGTTCTTGGAAATTTTTTGCACTGTTGTTTCAAAGTTTGCACTTGTTTTTAATTTTTTGTCACTAGTAATTTAAATATTTCACCAGCATTTCAAATATTAAACTAGTTTTTCAAACATGGCGCTGAACAGGCCGAAGCAAGTGTTTTAATTTGTATTAGATTGTTAAACTTCAATTGTACTAAATTTCTCAACACTCTTCTTAATATATCTTATAAAAGAGCAGATGGCCGAGTGTGCTATTAAACAAATTTCGTTGACAAACTCTTTTTATGATCTTTCTACAAACCTTTCTAATTGAAAAAATCTGGCTAAGTATGCTCAAGCTAAATGGATATAAAACCCTGAATCTCTACATAGCGTTAATGTTCATTTCTGGGATCGTTTCCACATCATAATTATTTTCAGCAATAAAAACTTTTTAACAGTATCAGGATACATCCTTATGAGTAAAAACATCTGCTACGCTATTCAGACTTGAGAAAATGTGCCAATTGAGCAATCTCTTCCCGCCCCATTCTCGTTTGGGGGGATTGCTCAATGGGTACTTGGGACATGTTTATAAACACTTGAAATTAGTTTAAATGTGTAAAATCATGAACCAGTTTCTCCAACGAATAAGGAACGCCAAAATTTGCATTATTAAATGTCAAGATTTTCATTCAGAGTGAAAAAATAATCAATGAAACTGGGGCTTATTAAGCGATTTTTATCTGTCCTAAATTGGAAAGAGCTATTGCGTACATTAATACGGTGCTGCAGAGAATAGTTTTTCGTATTCAGATATGAGGCTAGAGCACCAACCCTGGTAACTCGCTTTCCTAATTGAAATGAAATCGTCAGCCTTGCGTTCGCTAACTTCTTTTTGTAGCGTGTTACCGTTGTTGTTTGGGGAGATAACTCAATTGGTCCCTACTCCTTACAGGGACGGGGAGATTGCTCAATTGATCCGAGATAACAAAGAACTGTGCAAAGAAAACCGCAGTCTTTTTGTTCTCACATGCAGTGACCAGAAAATATGCCGTGTGATGGATTTTTCTAACCAAGTTTGACTCTTTCAAAGAGTGTTTATTTTATACGGATTCAGGTGGCAATTCACATCAAAAAACATCAGATTCCAAAAAAAATTTGAAATACGTTTTCAGAGACTCGGGGCAAAAACTGGTGTAATTATTTTAATATTCAGAGTCAATTCAGCGACGAACGTATGTTTCTCTTCCTTTCTAGTTTGACTAATTTCAAAAACTTCGATATAAAAGAATAGTTTGATATGGAGTTTTCCAAGCTTTAGTTTTCCGGCTTTCGAAGAAAGTGACGGAAATTTTTATTATCGGGCTGGTTTCTACTCAAAGTTCATTGTTTAAATTAATCAATTTTGATGTATTTTTCTGCATCATTGAAAACTAGGGATTTTTTAAGCTCAAAATTTACAGAATAATTCACCTGTGACCATGTTTTGCAAAGTTGTGAGGGTTTGAAGATTGCCAGTTTTACCAAGTTTGGATAATTAATCCGCGATATACACCATGCCATTAAAACGTGCGAGGCTAATTGGATTCGGCTCAGAAATTTATCTAAATTGATTATAGGCAAGCAAGTTTTTCTAAATGAAACGTTTTTATAAGCTACATATATATCACTTTTTAATTTGAAAATCGAGCAATGGTATGCAAAAAAATCAAAAAATAATTTAAAATCTTTTTTTTTCTGAAAATTTTATAATTCTTCAGAAAAAACTATAAACCAAAGACGTTGAAGTAAAGTCAGAACAATGACGCGCCGCCCTCAAACGAGCTTTCATGTTGTTCCAACCAATTTCGAAGTGTGGGAACGAAATTTTGGATGTGGTTCGTTTTTTCCAGACAAATTTGACTGCCTTTACAAAAACCGCCTTTTTTGAATGGTGAGAAAACTGGCCTGAATTTTTCCTTTTTCAGGCAAATTTAGATGAGACTTGGACCTCATCAATTTAATTCTACTACAAGTTAATCATTAA